TGAACATGACTGCAAGACTGACCGTAGCACTTAACTGCAATTTGCATCATTTAGCTCAAACACTGTCCCTCAGAGGACTGTCAAGCCCTTTTCACTGCTGCAATATTCTATTACATCACTGCAAAATGCTACTTAGGTGAAGGGCAACATTTTTTGTAATTCTCTTCATATGTTTTCCTGTGGACTGTCACTAGAACCCAAAGTCTAATGAAGCAAACACAGCTGTAGACCCCAAGCTCCGAGACAACACTCATTTCTTGAATAAGGCTCCTAGGGCTTCAGAAGCCAGAACATCTGTATCGAGCTATTTGGGGAGAGCAGTTACTCTGCTAAGCAACTTAAAAAACAAACCTTTTCTGTTGCTGTTTTGACTCTGTGTGCATGCAGGAAACCCAGCATTGCACAAGCACTCCACTTTGCTAAGCACCACTTGGACAAATAAAAAATTACTATCCAGAGAGTTTGCAATATAGGTATTAGAGCAGAAACACTACTGGACAAAACAGATGAAAAAGCATGGAGAGAGCAGGTGTCAGATTTCAAGCTGGTGTCAGATATGATCTGGTGGTTAAAACCTAACTTTGCCATTATAAAGATGGATTTTAGATAGAAGGTAAGGTGGTAGCTTTACAAATATAGGAGCAATGAACTGACATGGGGAACACATGGTGTACTTCAGTAGCACGATCAAAGTGGAGTTTCTGAGGAAGAGGTATAGCTTTCAATTCTGTAAACCTATCTGCACCTATCTTGTCTCTGAGGCCAGTCACAGCAGCTCGAATAATGCCAACCAGGAACTCACTAAACACAGCTGCAGTCTGGCTTAGCCTTTTTGACGTGACCCCTATGCCAGCCCAGAGTCTGAGCTGCGTGTACAAGGTTTACAATTACAACGTTTTGCTGAGTCACCAGGATCTGGTTTGAGAACACAGGCTGTGGTGTGGCACCAGTGTGTGCAAAGGAGTCCATCTCAATGAGAAGTCAGCAGGCACAAGACCCCTCTTCTCAGCTTTGCTGCTTGTTCACTTAGCTTGTCTCGTGATATACAGCCATTCTTCCATAAATAGCAAAAGCAAGTGTCTCACTGCAGAAGCAGACGGCAAGGAAGTCTGTGGCAGCCTTGATGTTAAGCAACACTGCTCCTCACAAATAAGACTATTTTCCCAGATCTATCACGGCTAGGGATCTTCAGTAACGATTTTCACTGTCTTCAGCAGAACAGCCTTTAAGGCTGCTGGAGAAGGTAGAAAATAATCTGCATGTGCTAAAAAAAAACATGGGCGAGACATGCTCAGGCCGAGAGTCTAGCTTATATCTCTAAGGCTATGCTCACGAAGAAAAAAGGAGCATCTGAATTTTCTGAAGTGGCACGAATCCAGAATTCCAGAGCCATTCCTTACCATTATTTAGCATGTTTTAAGAATTAAAAGTGAGATTTAGAACAGCTAGAAAAGCTGCGTAAGGGCATAATTAATGAAGTAACGTATGACTAACACCATGTGAAGGAGCACCTCAGTTGGTCTTACCGCAGAAGTATTTGCCATGACAACTAAAGATACTAGATGCCTATCACTACATTCAGCTCATACCCTGACTTCTTAAACTTTAAACACAACCAATTTTGCTCAAGCAGAAATTCTCTCTGAGGCACAGAACACCACATGTTCATTGAAAGACTCATGGGACAAAGGAATTAAGTTTGATTGCTGCTAGCGTTTCAACGATAATGAAAAACAACAGAGTTGATTTTTTGCAGACTATGGATTATACAGAAGCCACTTTCTTGCAAAGCTTCAGTGTATTTCACGTATTAAGTATCCATTAAAGCTAAAGGCACCCAGCACAATGATACCTCGATGCTTCACAAATTTGGCAATTAGCTTACTCTAAGCTCACTTCTGTTTTAACTGAGTGTACAGCTGAAGATTCTTCCTCCTCCTCCTATTTGCTTATCTCTTACATCCTATTCCACAGAAAGACATTGCAGAATAGAGATTTCAATTAAATGGTAGATCTAAATCACGTTTGTCTCCCCATGTGAAGAATGCATCCATCAAGCAAAGTGCTTCTGCTTTCAACCTTCGTACCTGTAGGAGGGTCGCCTGGAAAGAATTTCTCTTCGTTTCTGTGAGTCTGTGACACTGTCTACTGATTCCTGTGAATCTTCACTTTCTGCTATAGTGGAGATCTGTAAATAAGAACAGCAATCAAACTTAACAAGACACAATGTTTTTATTTTAAGGAAATGTTGACATCCTGTGGAAAACACTACAATGCAAGTATTCTACAGTGCTTCTACCTAGGCAATGAACAAAAGAGGCAGGCTGTTCAGTAACAGGTCCAGTGAAGAATGACCATGGTCAGTTATCTACCTGTGAGAATATCCTTTATAATTCAAATACTCCAATAGGAAAATGTAAACAGTAATTCTATACACTTTTTGCTTTCCATGATTCCTTGTTTCCATTCATTTTAAGGAAACAAAGAAGGATTTTTTTAGTAAAATTTAGAGAGAGAATAACTGAAAGCAAATTAAGATAGCAGAAACGTTTGGAAACTAAGTGCAGTATTCTACTGCAGTTGAGAAACACCAATTTACAAACAGTTGGGTAGATATGTTATAGAGAGACTGCCTTTTTGGGGGAAAATTGTCAGGAAAATGTCATACATAAAGACATTAAAAAATAATGCAGTGCTGCAATTCTGAACATCTGTGCTAACTCAAGAAAAAGATTTATAAAGGAAAGCTAAAATGTTTGCATCAATCGTATTTCGATAGTTTTAAATTCAAAGTGTGCCAAAAATGTAAAAACATCTCCAATACATAAAAACAGAGACTGTTTTCCAAAAGGCTATACTCACGTGACAAATATACAAAAGCTAACGATAGTTAGTGAATAGAGAAATGCTTGTGTAAGAAACATAGCTCTCAGCCTGATATTTTATGCACTGTAAGGAAGACTCCTAAAGGCTCAAAAAGCTTGCCGTTGCCCAAATCTCACCCTTATCACATAGAGGGCCTGAATAGGTCCAAGGCTGACTGTGAACTACCCAGCTTTGAATATCACAACATTCCAAGCACCTTCCGCTTTGCACTGAGCCAGGTGAATTCCAAGCATGGTTTCATTGTCAAACTCTTATCTTCCACCCCTGGGCTAGTACCTTGTGCGCTTATCTGAAAAATGCTCTCCTCCAACAGATTAAACTTTTGACTCCAATGGCTGAGGAGGGTAGAGCCTGCTAGAAACTCAGCACTAAACCTGACAAGGAGTGAACAAAGATTATTATCAGAATGGCCTAGTTTTAAATTATGCATGCCTTATTATTTTTACAAATAACACCCAGGTAAGTATCTATATAAAATAGTCACAAAGTCTACTTTTTAAAATGAAACTTTTTTGTGCATTCAGTGTACTAACAGCAAAGGAATGATGTACGGTCCTTGCCCTGTGTAGCTGCTGTACACCAAGCAATTTCTCTTTCTGCACGCTGGGCTTAAAGTGGTTAAAGAAAAAAAAGCTAGTTTTTAAAGATTTCAGACTACTTGTCTCCTATGTCTTCAAGCTGTCTCATTATATTGCATTATCTGTCTTGCTTTACAGAAAAGAAAATGCTAAGGCTTTACAAAGCAAACAACATTCAACAGGCAAATTTAAAACCATTTTTATGAGAGGACTGCTGGGTTTATTTTAAGGACCATTAACTTACAGACAACTGTTTTGTAAACCAATGCAAATATTTTCTAAGTAGCAAAGACTCTTATCCCAGAATATCAGCCTTATTAATGATTAAAGATTACATTATTATAAAGTCCCTTTTGTTCACTTCAGAATAGTATGAACTCTTACTCAATAAAGACATAAGAAAATATAGTAGAGAGAAAAAGTAGAGAAATACTCTAAGAAAAAACACAGAATCATAGAATGGTTTGGGTTGGAAGGGACCTCAAAGATCATCTAGTTCCAACCCCCCTGCCATGGGCAGGAATATCTTCCACTACACCAGGTTGCTCAAAGCCTCATCCAACCTGGCCTTGAACACTTCCAGGGATGGGGCATCTACAACTTCTCTGGGCAACCTGTTCCAGTGCCTCACCACCCTCTGAGTGAAAAATTTCTTCCTTATATCTAATCTAAATCTTCCCTCTTTCAGTTTAAAGCCATTGCCCCTTGTCCTATCACTACATGCCCTTGTAAAAAGTCCATCTCCAGCTTTCCTGTAGGCT